AGCCTAGGAACTAACTAGAAAGGGTAGTTTTCCATTTATGAGTGAATGAGAAGTTGACGTCGTTTTCGGATTCGTGGAATGAACAAATAAAGAATAAAATGTGAGTTTCCTTATAAGGCTTGTCCCACATTGGAAACTTAAGAGAACTTATATGTGTATATAAGTTCTAGGCGGCAACACTTGGGTTGGGCCCCAAGGGGAACCCCAAGTTTGTAGAAGGGTGGAATTATGCACAAATTGAACCTTGGCTCAAACCACCACACAAGGGCGCCCATGGCCGCCGACCAACCGAGCCGCACCAGGCGTAGTTATGGATTGGGCCAGTTCTGACATTAATTTTTTGGACAAAATTTATTTGACTTCTTGCAGGAAATTATTTGAATTTCAAAATGTATTTAATTCAAATTTGAATTCAAATTTTTGGTCCAAAAATTATGCCTCTTCCAAGTCTGAATTCCACAATAAATTCAAACTGTTTTCACAGTTTTAAAACTGCTTAGCAGTTACAAGTTCAAAACTACTGCAAATCTGTTCAAATTTGAATTGTATTTGTTCATTCTATTTTCATACCTGTTCGGTTCAAAACTGTTGGAATAATGTTTTTTGTCAAATAAATAATGAAACAAATCAAACAAATAAAATAAATTACTTACCAAACAGAATAAATAATTAAAAGATTAAGTCGAGTGTGTGACACTCTGTTCTTAAGACAGATTCGCCCCGCTACGGTGCTTACGAACAAGTGGCGTCTATCTCCCAAGATACAATGATCTTCATAAATTGTAGTAGTACTCCAAATAATTTATTCAGCAAACAAAACCTGTGTTCTAAACTCTCTGAATTTTCCCTAAAATAATAGGAAGAATAAATTATGCAAGAGAGCAAAACTGGACAGCAAGAAAAATAAATTTTTCAGTCTGTTTTTGGATCTAAAGACTGCTGAAATGGCTGGTATTTATAGGCAAATTATTTTGTCCGAACAGGTGCAAAACCCTTGAACAGATACAATTTGAAAAACTGGACAGATTTGATTATGTCTAGGCAGTTTTATAACTGTAAAAATAGTTTGAACCTGTGTGAAATTCAGATTTGAAAAGAGGCACAAAATTTGAATTCAAATTCAAATTACATTAATTTTCCCCATAAGAATCTTTGGAGAAAATTAATATAAGAACCGACCTAACCCATAACCTACACTCGCACCTGGCTCGACCGGCCGGTGGCGACGTGCGTGTGTTGTGGTTTGAGCCAAGGTTCCATTTGTTCATAACTCCTCCCCTCTACAAACTTGGGGTACCCCTTTGGGCCCAACCCAAGTGTTGCCACCTAGAACCTATATACACACATAAGTTCTTTGAAATTTCCAATGTGGGACAAGCCTTTCAAGGAAACTCACATTTAATTCTTAAATTTTCTATTCCACGAATTCGAAAATGACGTCAACTTCTCATTCACTCATAAATGGTTTTGACGAACCGTCTTCACTGTGTGACTTACCTTGCGGCAAGAACACGTCAACTTTTTGGACCCATCCCAAAAGACATTTGGGACCCACTCAAAATTAGGCTCAAAGTTGGCTTAAAATAAGCCTATAAAACCAAATTTTCCAACAAAAACTGCACCTGTTCGGACAGATCTGAAGGGTTACCTTCTTGCATATAAATATAGATCATTTCCAGCAGATTTTTAGATCTAGAAATTTGTTTTCTCTTCCTGATTTTGCTCTTTGATTGCATTATTCTTCATATTATTTTAGGGAAAAAAATCAACGAATATAGAACACGGGTTTTGTTCACCGTACAAATTGTTTGAAGTGCTACTACAATTTGTGAAGATCATTGTATCCTAGAAGATAAACACCATTTATCCATAAGTACCGTAGCGAGGTGAATCTGTCTTAAGGACAGAGTGTCACACATTCTACTTGATCGATTTTTGTACTTATACATTTCGATAAATAAATTTTGTAAGTAATTTATTTTATTTATTTGAATTGGTTTCAAGTTTTTTTTATTTTACACAGAAGATTGTTTCAACAGTATGAAATATTCGTCACACGCGTACTCCTCATGATCAAGCTTGTATCTCCTTGAATGGCGTCATGTAGCCTGCAAAACAACTTAGGTGAGCTAGCTACTCGACGGGTGTATGTCTGAAAACCCCTGCAATGCTTAAGTTAGCTCTTAAGATCAATATAGGGAAAGTTCTTCAGAAATTCAGTGAGTAAAATTGCATTACTTTTTTCGGGTTTTCTTATGAGCTGTTATACATTTCGCAAAGTAGACTTCTATTAGGACTCTAATTTCTCTTTGTAGAGTCCTACCAGAAATCCATCTCTTAAAGGATAATGCCTATCCTATAACACCCTTATCTCCGAATTTCAAGTAAAATAACATAACTCTTAGCTCAGAAATTAGGCTAAGAATACCATTCCGGTTAGTCAAGGATCGAGTAACCATACTAAATGAATTCGCCTACCTTTAAGACTGCCAAGCAACATTTTATGCCATGCTAACCTTAGACACAAGACCCAACTTGGTTGTTCAACTGAATCATGTGGCCAACTCCGCATTGCCATAACCTGCCAACCATTGTCTGGCCCTCCAAAGATATCATGATTTCAAAGCCATTAGAATGTTGCAGAGAGCAAGACCATGTCAAAGTCCATGTAACCGTAGCCCGGCCCATTGCACGGCACAACACAAGGCCCTTTTTAAGTTAGCTTGGCTCATTTGCACGCAATCTTAACCCGGCTCATTTGCACAGCTCAGATCCAAGATCTACACAAACTTAGCTCAACCCATTTGCACAATGCAAATTACCCTTTTAAATAGGTGTAATCAAATCTATTGTAATAAAGTAATAAAATGAAGACATGTCAATATAAATGAAGATTTTAAAATATATATATATGTAAATAAGTTCGGTTCTCAGGTTAGTTCAGTTTAGGCAAGGCCTAAACTAAGAACTAACTCAATCATATCGGTTTGATAATTTGAAAATCCATAACCAAGCCAATACACTCAAACATAGGGGTGAGCAACAGATATACTAATCCGTCCAAACTGATCGAACCGAACCAATCTACCGCATTTTGAACGGATGCGTGATGACGAGCGAACGGTTGCGGATTGATTTTTTCCAATTCAATTAAATTTCAAAACAGTGTTGTTGTGGTGCACATCGACGCCGTTACATATTCTATCTCACTCTTTCCCTCTCTCTCACTCTTGCTCGAATTCACTCTCTCTCACTCTCACCTTCGCTCGATGTCTTTCTCTGTCTCAGTCTCACTTCGCTCTTGCTCAAATTCTCTCTCACTCTCAGTCCTCATTCTCACTCTCTGTACTCATCTCTTCATAGATCTATGAAGTTTGTCGAAGATTTGAAGGTTGATTCTTGGATTCGAAGGTTTGATTCCCCAGATTTGCAGTTGTCTCTCACTCTCGCTCTCGCTCTCGCTCTCGCTCTCATTCTCTTCTGTTCTTAGTCTCGCTGTCGCTCTTGCTCGAATTCTCTCTCTCTCAGTCTCAGTCTCACTCTCTGTACTCATCTCTTCATCAGATCTATGAAGTTTGTTGAAGATTTGAAGGTTGATTCTTGAAGATTCGAAGGTTGATTCTCCAGATTTGCAGTTTCTCTCACTCTCGCTCTCGCTCGAATTCTCTCTCTGTCGCAGTCTCGCTCTCGCTCTTCTCGAATTCTCTCACTCTCACTCTCTGTCATCATCTTTTCATCAGATTCGAAGGTTGATTCTTGAAGATTCGAAGGTTGATTCCTCCAGATTTGCAGTTGTCTCTTTCGATTTTGTTAGTTTCAATTTGTTTAGGTTTTTTTATTTTAATAGATTTTTTACATCTAACTCAGATCTGGCTTCTCACTTCTGATTTTCTTGTTTTTATTAGATCTCATCGTTCATCAAATTGGTCGATTAATCTACATGAAACCTGTTTGAGATTTGGCTTCTCAAATCTGTAAGTTTTTATTAGATCTTCTCTCTCTCCTCTCTCTCTCTCTCTCTCTCTCTTTGTGTGTACTGTTATATATATTATATATATATGCTGTTAGAATTGCAATATTACTTGGGATTTGCTCTTTATTTTCAGATTATAACTTCTCATTCTCTTTTGTTATTGGCAGAGGGTATTTTTTACTCTGGATCTAGTTTAAATATTTTTACTCATTCCTTAGGAGCAGCAGAAGTTAATAACTTATTCAATAGCATTTTGTTATATCGTGTAATATACTTCAATGTGTAAAACCCCAAAACATATATTTTTTCCTTATTGATTTGTCATAATTTGACCTGAATGCCACTGATTTGTAATTTTCCTCAATAATCAACTAAAGAAATAAATGTTTCCCTCTCTCTCTCTCTCTCCCCCTCTCTCATTTTATTTTTTTTTAAATAGGTTAGTTAAGGAGACTGGAACCTGTGTCTGTTTATCAGGGGCATGTGACCCAAGTCAATGGGTGTCCCCTTGGTGGCATTAATGTTTCCTCTTTTGTTACTTGTTTATTATGAATGGCTCTTTTATCCAAGCTTTCCAATTTAAGATGCCAAACTATTTTGTAAACTGTTTGTTCTTAGGAAGAAGTCTTCAAAGGATTTTAAGCATTGGACGGATTTTCATATGGTATTTTACAAAATAAAAAATTATTTTTGCTCTGTTTCAATTGTTCTGATAACTCTTTATGTTGGATCCAGTGACTGCTGATCCAAACCTAAATATTTGACCTATTTATTGTTTTCATTTATATATTTCTATGTTCATCTGATATGCAAGTTAGATGCTCCGTCGTTCTTAAAATCTGGAAGCCATATCTTCAGTCAAAAGAGAATGAGAAGTTATAATCTGAAATATTTTTGTGCTTGAAACATTCACAATGCATTGTGATTTATGCATGTAGGTTCAAAAGAGGCTCTTAGAATTCATACTTGCTGCATTCCATCGATCTCTTG